ATATATATGTGTGTGTGTGTGAGAGGAATTTATTATGAGAGGGTGAGAGGGTTAAAATATAACACTTAGATTAATTTTCTCTCACTTGATTAAATCCCAAATTTTCTCTCACTTGATTAATCTAAGAGTTATATTTTAACCCTCTCACCCTCTCATAATAAATTCCTCTCACTTGATATGCTCCCTATATGTATATATATATATAGACAGAGATAGAGGACATTGATCGGACAAAAATTATAACCCAAAAAATTGTTCTTGTAATATACAGATTTAATTTTTAAAGCTCAAATCCATTAAAATTAGTTGATAATTTTAAAGCTTAATGGTGCGGTAAGTTAGTGGGATAATCCAAGAAATAAAAAATGTTTTTCATAACCACCCATTTAGTTTGTAGTCTAAATTTACGCACATATTTCTATCATTCATAATTAACATACAAAACAATCATTCCAACTTCTCTTAACATTCCCTCTTTTCACTCTCAATCCTACATCTTAAATTTGTTTCATGCCTAAACATGTCAATATACACACAATTTCAAATACCCATTTCGAATTAACTCGCATCACATTTACATGCATATCTAATTCACACCCTATTTTGCAAATCATTTGTAGGATCCCACACACACACATACCATTTTGATTCAAAGTGGAGAATGGAATTCTTTCAAAGGGCCGAAGTGGTGCGCCTGAGGAGTCACCATGACAAATATATGTTGGCAGATGACGACGAAGGTGTTTTCCAAGATCGCAATGGTACCTACAAAAATGCTAAGTGGACCGTGGAGATGGTAGAAGGTTCCAACTTGATAAGATTAAAGAGTTGTTATGGAAAATACTTGACAGCCTCCAACATGCCATTTTTGCTTGGTGCCACGGGGAAGAAAGTGTTGCAAACCCTTCCTCCAAGATTGGATTTATCTTTGGGATGGGAACCCTTAAGAGAAGGTGTGCAAGTAAGGCTTAGGACCCGTTATGGTCAATACCTACGTGCTAATGGAGGCCTACCACCGTGGAGGAACTCCATCACTCATGACATCCCACATCGAACATCAACGGCAAATTGGATTCTATGGGATGTGGACCTCGTACAGCTTCGACCAACCCCTCCCAAACCAATAGAAATCGCCACACCCAATACTTCTATGGATTCTCCTCCCCCATATCACCATGACTCTGCTCAAATAGACCTCAAGTCTCCTAAATTATCAATTCATGAGGTTAGATAAAAATTCAATCCAACATGCAGGTTTTGTTTTTTTTAGTATGTGTATATATATATATAATAACCATCATGCCTTTTATGTAGCAAGGAGATGTAGAGGAAAATGCTTCACCAAAGAAAGATGGAAGGATTATATTTTATAATGTGGGAGATGAACATGGGAGTGTTCCTATTACAAGTGAAGAAAAATTCTTTACATTCAAAGGAAGTAGTGTGGATGATTTGAAGGAAAAGTTAAAGGAAGAGACGGGACATGATGATATTATTGTATGTTGCCGCAATCCATTTACTGCAAAACTTTGTCCCCTTCATTTACAGCTACCTCCAAACAACACTGACATGCACGTTGTTGTGGTTACTCCCTCCTATAATGGTCAGCATTTTTCTACCTATTTTTCTTTCTGTACTCCCACTTTTGCAACTTAACATTCTTTCTTCTAAACCAACATGCTTGTCTAATTTTGACATTAATGGTTTACAAATATTTATGGCAACAAACTTCTTTCATTTCAACACAAATTAATGTTATTTTCTTGAAGAACAAAGTGGAAATATTATACAATTTTTTAATGTGTTTAGATAATGCCCAACAATCGATTCTATTCTTAAAATTATGGTGATACCATAAAAAATAATTGATTATTTCTCACCATGAAATCAATCCCAACACACTATTTATATTTCAGCATAAACAGTTAACAAAGAAGATGCTGACAAATCAATAGGTGGAAATGCATTGTGAAAATATATTTTCACAAAAAGGGGCTCGACTCAACCCATGTGTTTACTCTAGGAAGAAAAATCAAAATGAAAAAAGAAGAAGAAAAACCTTAGAAAGAGGAAAAGGAAAGTGGCATGGACTTTTTGTGAAACACTGGCAACAATAAATTTAGTTCCCAAACATAGTATTCCTTCTTCGAATTTACAACTTTAGAACTCAATATTCTCATGCTGAAATATGTAATTTCTTCCTCACACGCATCGAAATGTTGTAACATTAAATGTCTTACGTACTATGTCCTCCATTTAAAGAAAGTGTGTAAATGATCAATGTAAAGGAAATATTTATAACTGTTATCTTATTGGAACCTATCCTCTTCTAAATTTTTGCATATTATCTATCACTAGTTTGATCCGAAAGGAATCATGGTCTCAATTTAGTAATTTACTGAAATTTAATAATAAAGATATTCTTATTCATTCACTTTAGAGACAATAACTTTTTTTATTGTTTTATGTTAACTTATTTTGTAATATTTCATCTTCACTATTTCATATCTTGCATTGTTTCATACTTTCATGCTATATTGACTTATTTCACACAAGTATATTTATTTATATTAACTTATTCTGACTATTTTAAAACAAATAAAAACTAGGCACCCAAATTAACTGAACTGATCAATATCTTATTTAAAATTAACCAACAAATTGAAATGTCGTTAAAATTTTAATAAAATTAGAAACTAAAGTATACAACATTATTATGTTTTTATTGCGTATCTAGACCAAATTCCAAAAACATGTTTTCATCGCCACACCGTGTATCTGTATACAATACACAACAGAGACATTTCAATGAATATTGCAAAATCACACCTCATACTACCAATTATTACACAACAGAAATAAATTATCGTTGAGTATTGTTCACAATAAAAAATTGATTTCTGTTAAATATATTTTTGTCCAAAAAAAATGACAAAAATGTTACAATAACAAAGCCCTTTTTTATATTTTTGGTCAATGCCGCATACTAAAATTTAGGGCCATATTGTGCATAGACATCGAAAACCAATAATTTGGCCCATTACACTTATTTGCACTTCAGTCCAATATCAGTCCCAAAAAATTGAAAAGAAAAACTCCAATAATAAAAATCATTGTAAGTACTATATATATCACTTAACACGAATGATTCACAATACAAGTTATTCCGTGCAAAAACGAAAAAGGTATAACGTATGATTTGATAATTTTTTTTCAAAAGTATTTATAAAAAATAGTTTTCCTATAATTAAAATTAATTCATACATAAATTAAAAAAAATTAAAAATCTAATACAAAATAACTTCTACAAATTAGTTTATAGATATCTTTAAAACAAAATAGAATCTCGATAAATAGTAGCCCCATCAAAGTCAAAAGCTAATATGTATTATTGCTTGAAAAGATAAAGGACCAATCCTTATTAAGTATAATTCTAATCCTTTTTTACATACCATCTTCGACTCCCTAAAAGAGAACTTATAACGTGGAATCTACCTTTAATGTCAATCTATACAAGATTTGATAGTCTTGACTTAGCCGTCAAAATCGTTTTTGTATCTTAATTAAGTTGCCAACTTTGAACTATATCAAAGTTTGAAAAAATACAAGTCTTTTCTCATTTTAAAGGTAAATCTAATAATACATATGGCTTAAAATAAAATAAAAAAATGTATGTGGGTGCATATTAAAATATGCAACCATTCAGAGAAAAATTAAGTTGTTGGTAAAAAAAACTAATGCGACATATACAAATTACAAAAATAAATTAAAGTAATTATGTGTTAGGTTACTTTAAAGCAAAAGTAAATATAAATGGCGCATTAGCAACTTCCACTAACGATTATGACGCTCACTTATATAAAAGAAGTATTTTATTATGAAGTTATCCATAGTGATGTTTAGACATGATCACATATTTGTTGTTGAGTTTTATAATATATGCATATTTATCTTTTAAAATAGTAAGATACATTATAAACATTCAATTTCCTTACCATATGTTGGATAAAAATTTCTTTACCATATCTAACTAATATATTACTTAGTCTCTTAATAATTTCTCGAGTGAATAATTCCTCCAATTTTTATTTGTTAATTGTTATAATTAAGTTTTGCCATTGTTTTTCTTCTACTCAATTTTGTATTCGAAAGCTCTACATACAAAATTATTTTAAAAACCCTTTTTATACTAAACCTACCAACCAAAATATTAAAAACTATTCAAAATATTTTTTAAAAAATAATATCACATCGTACTACATAAATACTTTAAATATTAGCAATTTCGTACTAAATTTAGGACTTCTAAACTTTTTAAATTACTTTACATCACATTATAGATTTCGATTTATTTGAATAGAAAATAAACCGAGGGTTTAAAAAATAAAATTGACAAGATCACAATTATTTATTGTCAAAAATAAAGAAATCTGATTAACTTATGATATATTGAGAGATTAAAATCACGTATAATATCTTATAAATGTAATTTATTAGAATTAAATCAATTCAATAAAATTAATTTATAAAGCGAAGATTGCATTCCAAAACAATATTAAATACTCCAAAATAAAAAAAGATGAGATGTCTACTAAAAAATTAAAATTGGTCGGATGGTATATTCAAGAGCTTTATCCATTTTTGTTTGTCCTTAGCGAAATGATTGGAGAGGGTAAGATTTGTTGTTGGAACCATTATTGTTAGTGGATTACCAAAAGTGTTTCTTTTCTTTTGTTTTAATTGCAAAAATATTTGAGTAGACAATATTTATTAGTAGCATGAAGAAAGTTTTTAGACAATAGAGTTAAATAATTTAATTGTTTTTTTTTTCAAACTAACTATCTTTCTTTTTTTTATTAATTATGATCTATATTTTTTAATAATTTAATTGATTTTTTCATACTCACTATCTTTTTTTTTTTATTTTAATGAAGATCATAAATGAAATTACTGATATAACATTCTTAAAATATTTTTTTTTATAAATCACCCTTAAAATAAAAAGGTGTTGATTTTATAATGGAGAGACTTGTGCTAGAAAGAAACTAGAAATATCAAAATACACTGATAATTAATTTATTAAAATAAAATTGTTAATAACAAATTATTATTTATACAACTTATACATGTACTCTCTTACATAAATTCATTTAACTTGGATTGATATAGATTTAAAAAAATCTCTGATTTTGATATTTTGATTATATTACTATTAAGTTATGTAAGAAGAAGGATATGTCATCTCATTAGTTGGTTTAATTATTATAAAGGTTCGCGGGTTCTTCCTTTAAGTGAGACTAATTTTATTTCAATTTTTTAAATTTTCAATAAGTGAACTTTATTTTGTATTTTTTTTTAAATAATTATGATAATAATATAAAATATCATAAAAATAGTAACTAAACCATAAATTAATAAATATAAAATAGATATATATTTTTTAATATAATTTATAGTTATATCTAAAGTTAGGATTTGAATTGTGTATAACTTAATTAAAAATCACAAGTTGTTATTTCTTGTGCTAACCGGTGTCAATATTATATATTTTTGTGTTTGAGATGAATATGAGTGGTTTAGATGAGGCAGAAGAATTTGTGGTTTGGATAAATGGAAGGGATAAAATCAACAATGAAACCAAATCAATGTACACGACATATATTGATCTCTTATCATAGATCCATAATCCATGCACCGTGTGTTTCATCTCTTCTCTTTTTATTTTTATTTTTTGTTACAATTTCATCTCTCTTCTCTTCATGCAAAGAAATGGAATTAAATTCTACGACTTCTCTTTATGCTAATAAAATAGTTTCTTGACTTGTGATCGAATGACATTTGTGGTAGGTGGATGAAGGCTTCGAGCAATTGGGCTGCATGTTCTCTGCAATAGAGCATGAAACTCATTAAAATATTTAAGACACACAGAGAAAAAACTCATTAAAAATTAACATGCAAATATAATTGCACTTTGGTTCAAGCATGTTAAGAAATATTTCATTGCAACGGGAAGATGGATAAGATCAGATCAATATTCTTTCAGAACGAGGCCCCCCTTTTGTTCCTTTTGACCATTCTTCGGTCTTTTTATAATTACTTTAATTATTACTCATCATTATTGGTAAATATTGCTCTTTACTTAAAAAAAAAAAATTGTTTCACTATTTTCCCCCTTTCGTTTAAATAATTATGTAAATATTCAAAAAAAAAATCGATAATCAAATTATTAAAGTATAAAACAACCGCTTAAATATATTGATGTGAAAATAATTTAAAATTTTAATTTTAAATCTTTAAGATATTATTTAGATATAAAAAAATATTATATATTATTAGAATATTGTTTGTAATTAAAAATATTATATTTATTTTGGGAATTGATTTTTTCTTTTAAAATTAACATGTTAAGTTAATAAATAGAGGCATTTGAAATGAAAAGAATCAATTGATTTGTAGAGAGGTCATCATCCTAATTAAGTGAGAGAGGGAGTTATTGTCCTAAGTGAGGTAGGAGATCATACGAATAAAGGTTTTTCAAATTTCGCTAGAAAATTTGTGAAGGAAGATTTGTTAAGTTTTGTCAAAAAATTTGTATTGAAAGTTTACAAGTTTTACTCATAAAACTTGTGAACCAGAGTTTTTAAGTTTCATCCACAAAACTTGAAGGGAGAATTTTTCATATACATATGAAATTCATTTTGAGATAATAAACATCTTTGTGAATGTAGATATTGAGTGTCAAACTAAGCTAAATAAATTTGGTGATTTGTATTTAATTTTTATGGCATTTTTGTTTGCACTCTCATCATTATGTGTAAAAAAAAGAAGAGAAATACTTTTTTTTATTCCCAGGAGTGTATCTTGGTGACCTATCACACAAATATTGAAACTTAATAATATTAATGGTAGGTTTGGTGTCGAAAATCTTCTTGACAATGTAAAAATCAAGCGACATGCTCTGCTGGTAGTAGCTAACACCAATACAAGTCCATCCACTACTTATAGAGTAGAGACAATAAATATTGTAGAGTAAAAGTTTTTAATGTGAGATCAAGTTTGCAAGTTTTTAAAAAATTTAAAAATTATTTAATATTTTGTTTCATTAATTTAAATTGATATATAAACATAAAGTTATTTTATACGTTGAGTTAAATTTATATAACGAAATATTATATAATTTTAAATTCTTTAAAAATTTATAGATTGATGTTATATCTTCTAATTTAACAGTTAAATTTGATGTAAAACATGAATTATTAAGTGTAATAAGTATATATAAATTTACTCTTAAAATAAGTTAATTTCTTCTATTG